ATGGTAAGCCGAAGGGGTATTGAGGCCAACCTCGAGAAAATTCAGGCCATCGTCAACATGGAGCCTCCACGCAGAGTCAAAGAAGTTCAACGGTTGACGGGCCGCCTGGCAGCCCTCAACCGTTTCCTCTCCAAGTCAGCCGAGAGGGCCCTCCCCTTCTTCCAAATCATGAGGAAGACAGCGGGTTTCCAATGGACATCTGAATGTCAAGAGGCCTTCGACGAACTTAAGAAGTACCTCTCTTCTCCCCCAGTGCTCTCCAAACCAAAGGTGGGGGAGACTTTATACTTATACCTCGGCGTTAGCCCTGCGGCCATCAGCTCAGTACTGATCCGAGAGGACGACGGCATCCAACATGCCATCTTCTACGTCAGCAAAACCCTCCGGGAGGCCGAACTCAGGTATTCTCCCGTCGAGAAGACAGTGCTAGCCATCGTGTGGACCGTCAAAAAACTTGGCCACTACTTTCAAGCTCATCCGGTCCAAGTGCTCACACATCAACCCCTCGGCGCCCTCATGAGGAGCCCCACAAGTTCCTCCCGAATGGTGAAATGGGCCATCTTCCTCAGTCAATACAACATAGATATCCGTCCGAGGCCTGCCATCAAGGGCCAAGCCCTGGCAGACTTCGTAACGGAGTGCACCGCGAGATCAGCGGTGGATGAGGAGCCTTCGGCACCCCTTGACGAGTGGTGGACCCTCTATACCGATGGCTCCTCAGCCACCAAAGCGTGCGGAGGGGGAGTAGTTCTGATCACACCCGAAGGGTTCCGCGCCTACTATGCCATTCGCTTTTCCTTCAAAGTCTCCAACAACGAGGCCGAGTATGAGGCCCTCCTCTGCGGCCTTCGGCTGGCAGCAAATCTGAGGGCTAGAATGATCCACGTCAAGTGTGACTCCAAACTTGTCGTGGGTCAAATTTCCGGGGAATACGAAGCCAAGGAAGGGAGGATGAAACAATACAAGGAAGCAGCGAAGGAGTTGCTTAAGGTGTTTGAGGCACATTCTCTTACCCAAATACCGAGGGCTCAAAACTCTGAGGCCGACATTCTATCCAAGCTCTCGAATGAATCCCCCGAGCACCTCTCAAAAATTGCAAGAATCGAGGAACTCAGCCTCTCAAGCATCCACGCGAGCCCCGTCATGAACATTAACCTAAGGCCGGAGGATTGGATCTCCGACATCATCACCTTCATCACCACAGGGCAACTGCCCCAGGACGAAGCCCGCGCCAAGTTAGCAAAGCAGAGGGCTCCCAGCTACACCCTCGAGAATGGAAGGCTTTACAAAAGATCTTACAACGGCACCCTCCTTCGGTGCCTCCATCAAGATGAAGCCGAAGTCGCTATGGAGGAAGTGAACAGTGGCACTTGCTCAGCTCACCAGGGACCCTTCTCCATGTCCCGAAGGCTCATAGTTCAAGGCTACTTCTGGCCCACGATGGCTAGAGATTGTGCTGATCTAGCCCGAAGGTGCACCACTAGCCAACACTTTCAGAAGGCTCCCGACAGACCAGCGGTCAACTATGCCCCCATCAGCACCGCTATACCCTTCTCCAGATGGGGGATTGACTTAGTGGGCCCTCTGCCGAGGGGTACCTCCAATAACAGGTACATCATTGTGGCCATTGACTACTTCACCAAATGGGTGGAGGCGGAACCCCTCGCCAGCATCACTGAGGCCCGGTGCCGCCACTTTGTTCTCAAAAATATCCTCACACGGTTTGGCGTCCCCCAACAGATCATCTCCGACAATGGCACTCAATTTGAGGCAGCCCCCTTCTGTGCCCTCCTGGAGGCATGGGGCATCAAGCACACATTCTCTTCCGTTGCCTACCCTCAGGGCAACGGACAAGTAGAGAACGCCAACCGGACCCTACTTGAAGGGATGAAGAAGAAGCTGGAAGCCGAAGGGGGAGGCTGGGTAGAAGAACTCCACAACATTCTATGGGCCTACCGTACTACCCCCCGGCGTGCAACAGGTGAAACACCCTTCTCCTTATGTTATAGCTTCGAGGCTAAAGCTCCAACAGAAGTGACCCTTCCCACCCGAAGGGTGGAACAATATGAACCAGAAGTCAACGACGCCCATATGGCCCTCGACCTCCACCTCATCTCAGAACGCCGGGAGCAGGCCTTCATCAGGGCTGAAAACTATAGGAGACAGGTCAAAGGCTACATCGACGCGAAGGTCCGCTCCCGTGAATTTCAGGTGGGGGACTACGTCCTCCGAAGAAGGGAGGCCAGCCTACCCACCGAAGGAGGAAAAATGGCGCCCAAGTTTGAGGGCCCCTACATCGTCTCAGCCATCATCAAACCAGGGACATACAAGCTAAAACGCCCTAATGGGACAGGGGTTCCTAGACATTGGAATGTGCACCACCTAGTCAAATTTTATCAATGAGCGGCCAAGCCCTCACCCTCAACAAATGTAATATATGGCCCGAGGCCCCATCCGTTTGAAAGAATGATCAAGAGGCCAAGCCTTCATCACCTACATATTGTACAAGCGGCCCAAGGCCCCCCTTCTCTCCTACAAATGAGTGGCCAAGCCCTCATCTCTTCACCAAAATAGGCCCAAGGCCTCTTCCTCTCATGAGGGGGAACAACAATTTAGGTACCAAGTACCAAGTGTATGGGTCACCCCCATCACTCTTTGAAAACACCAAGTGTTTTCTCACTAAGCCGTACCCCACGAGGACGCAATCATGCATACATTATGCATACTTATACATACTCTCCTAAAAAAAAGAAAAAAAAACCCGGGGGGTTCAACACCCCTCGGCCCCGGCTGGTACCAAGTGCCCCCGGGAACGCAAATAAAACCCTTCCCAGGAACGCTTTCCGCGCCATTCCCCAAGGGGAGGCAGGCAACAGACCATGTCCCGGGCCCAGGATTCGACTTCCACAAACGAAACGCTCCCCGCGCTATCCCCCAAGGGGAAGCAGGCAACAGACCATGTCTCGGGCTGAGGGGACGACTTTCAAAACCGAGGCGCTTTCCGTGTTATCTCCCAAGGGGAAGCAGGCAACAGACGATGTCTCGGGCCGAGGAAACGACCCTCAAACCCTTCGGGATATCGGAAGGTCATTCCCGAAGGGGGAGCCAACGGTTTATTCCGTTGCCTCCCATATAGGCCAAGCCTTTCCTGGAGACCAAGTTTCTAGATGCCTCTCCTACATCATTCAAAAAAAAAATGTGTAGGAGGGAAGGAACTCCCCGGATACTATTCTCCCCGGAGGCTCAACTATTCGGATATATAATCCCGAAGGCTCCTACAAAGGCACAAGAAAATCTCTCAACAACAAGTCATCTGGCTACATAGCCGAAGTCTTCAATACATGAAGCCTGGGAGTACAAGAATTCCCCCGGGGGCCCAAGATGAAGGCTCACTAGCAAAACTTCAACAAAAAGTCTGAAACCGGGAGGAAGCAAATCAACTATGCTTCATATCGAAAGCTACACGGAGTTCTAAGGCAAGCTAAACCTATACCTACACAAACCGGAGGATTCACACCGAAGGCAGAATGTCACCAGGCTCATTCGACAAAAAAAAACAAACAAATTTTTCTAAGGCCACATATTAGCACCCGTCGGAGGCTCGAACAACTCTCACGCTCGAGGGTTCCCTGCAGCATATATTGAAACTTCGTGAAAAAATGGCTAAGTCCACAAATGGGGACCCTTCGGGAGGCAATTCTTCACCTACAGATTCGTGGCCGATGGCCCCCTAAACTACTTGGCAATGGCCCGAAGCTATGCTGCTAATCGAAGGCTCAGCGTTTCCGGGGGCATAAGATGCAATTTCACTTGGAAAATTTCCTAAGTCTAATTCATTTTGGTCCTCGGTCCTACTACTGCAACTGGAGGGGTTCCAAAGGCTCATCGCCAAGTCCACAATTACAAGCCTCCGGCTGTCCTACACTACAACCGGAGGCTCTCTTCAAGGCTTTATTTAGGGAAATTCCTAAGTCCACAAACTTGCAGCCTTCAAGCAAACATTCATTCAACTCTTTAGAAAAGGGAAAGCATACAAACAAAAGGGAGCGAAGGCAAACACAAATCAAATACAGGAGGCATTCATATTAAGAGCCCGAAGGCATATCATTCATTCAAACATGGAAAATTGTCAAAGTACAAGAGAAGTTGTTTGTTTACAGGTGGCCAAAGCCGGAGATTACAATCTACTACATACACTTAGCAAAAATTCAAGCCCCAACTTCTTTGGCTACATCTCCCTTCGGTTTTGAGGAGGCGTCATCCTCAGCTTCTTCTTCATCATCCGAGGCCAGCCTGTCCAGCTCCGAGTCCTCCAGAAGCTGCCTCTCTTCACCTTCAGGAAGGGGAATCCTGACGTCTTGGAGTAGGGGGGGAAGGCCGTAGGGGGTGGGATCGAAGTCCTTGGGATCTACCCCAAAATGCCGAGCCAGCTTCCGGTAGAGCATGGCTTGCGTGAAATACTGGCCCCCCTCATAGAAACTTTTTCCCTTCAAGGCAAGCCACATTGCCCCGGGGCCCTTCACCCAGCTGTCGGCAGAAGCCTCAATCACCGAAGCCACCCACTGCTGATATTCCTCAGCCTTCCAGCCATCAGCAATAAAAGCCGCCACCGCCTCTTCCTTGGAATTGGAGATGGCTACCGCCTTTTGGGCCTCAGCATCCTCGGCTGCTTTCTTGGCGGCCTCAGCCGCAGCCTTCTCAGCTTCAGCTTTTCCCTAGGCCCGAGCTTCCTGCCTGGCGGTCTCCAGCCTCTTCTCGGACTGCCGGAGGGCCTCCTCCAAGCTCGCCAGCTGCCGAATGGCCTCGGTGTTATTGGCCACAAGCTTCCTCGTCACCTCATCGGACTTGGCCTTCTCAAGACGATGCTGCTCCGCCCTGCGAACCAGTTCCACGAAGGCCAGGCTAGCCTACAAACATACAAGGAGGCACTCAACATCAGACTGTTCAAAAAAAAAAAAAAAAAAAAAAGGGCTAAGGGTTCGAAAGATCTAAGCACTTACAGTGGCCGAAGCTTGAAGAGCCTTGAGTTCGAGGGCTTCATCCCCAAACCGGCTGAGGGTGGACCGATCCACCGAAGGGGTGGCACCCCTCAAGAACTCCCTCGGGTCGAGGGTGCCGTGCATGATGGCTGTCCCCTTCTTGATGGGGAAATGTACGGTTTCGAGGGTCCATGCCCCCTCGACAAGATCCTCTAGGGGAGCGGAGGCCGACGGCTGGATGGTTGGGGGGTCGTCGATAACCACCACGGGAGTATCCTCCTGCCCAGCATCCCCCCTCGCTTTCTTCTTCTCCGGGAGCTTCACGCCTTTCCCGGCATTCTTCCTTTTGAGCTCTCCAAGTTGGGAGCTCCCGGCCCCAGAGCCGGCATCACCACCAGGGGCAGATTTCTTCGAGGGGCCCTCCCCCTCCGGCGTCTTAGCAGCCCCGTCCTTCTTAGGGAAGGAGTCCACGGGCTTCTTTGTCGAAGACCCCTCCTTCCTCCTCCTCTCCTCCTTCGCCATTTGCTTGGACAGCTTAGCGAATGCCTTCGGATCCATTATGCCACCTGCAGAGGGCAGGAAAAAAAAAGGGTTAGAAAAAACAGGTCAAAGGCAGAAATCACTAAGTACCAGAATCAGGAGTCCCCCGGAAGCAACCTCTGGCAGTCTGGGAACCCCGGTCGAAGAGAGGATATCTCTCATCCTTCTCCCCCGGCAGGCGGTAACGCTGGAACTCGAGCTGAAGCAGTTCCTCCGGAAGCGTGGCCGCTTTGATAGTCGTCAGCTTTTCTGAACCCGGAGACTTCTTTGTTAGCTTCCTCCCATTGCTCTCGAGGGATGCATTGCCGACCTTGAGGTGTCTCCGAAAATGGTTACGAAGGGGCCTCGGAAACGTAACTCCCGGCATCCTGAGGTAGCAAAAACGGTCCTTCCATCCCTTGTGGGACGAAGGCACCTCCGAGAACAACCTCCAAGCAGGCAATTGCTGGAGGTTGGCAAAACCCTCACTATTGGCGGCGCCCCCCCGGCACAGATTGAAGGACAGGAAGAACTGATCTAGCGTGGGTTCAACTCCTCGACTTCGGCATAGCGAAAGGAACCCGGCAATGTAGGAGTGACTGTTCGGGGTCAGCTGGCAGGGAGCGAGACCTACGAACCGGAGGTATTCTACCAGAAAAGGGTGGAGCGGGAACCGAAGGCCCAACTCCACCGAGAGGATGTGCACGGCACAGCAGCCCTCCGGGGGATGCAGCAACACGTCGTCAGGGCCCGGCACCACCACCTGCGCCGACGGACCCACCAGGAGCTGAGTCTTGAGATACTCCGCCTCCACAGCCTTCGTCTTCAAATCTAGTGCGGCTGTATTGAGATAGGAATGTCCTTCGGGGATTCCCACCGGCTGTCCTGCATCTACCGCAGCCTGTTTCTTCTTCGGGGCAGCCTTCTGCTTCTTTCTCTTCTTCCCCGAAGCTACCCGGAGGGGCACAGCGTCAATCGGCCGGGAGCTACTCGCTTCACCGGCGCCTCGCGAAGGCAGAACAGCAACCGTGACTTGTTGCCTCTCCTTCTCTTCTTCCTCCTCTGCAACTTGGAGGGCGAGGGCCATCTCCTCATCTACCACCACCTGTTCGAATTCCTCCGCCTCCATCTCAGTGCGGAGTTGGCCTTGAACTTCTTCAGCTATTGCGGAGTCGTTTCCTGCGGACGGCTGCTCGCTAGATGACTCCGCAGTTGAATAGCCCTCAGATTGCGCGGGGACCTCCTCCGATATGTTTTGAGAGTCGCTTTCGGAAGACATTTTCTTAAGGGGGTTCTAGACGAAGGCTCAAAACACTAGATCTAAGGAATGGGAAGCAAAATATACTAAGGAGATCAAGAGCAGGCGAGGAACTAACCTTAAAAGCTCGTTTTGATCAGAGGAAAGGCTTTCTCTCTCTAGAAAATTTTCGCCAGAGCTTCGCTAACAGTGAAACGCACAAGGGAATTGAGGTCTGGCCTTGGGGTATTTATAGGCAACTGGGCCTCGAGAACTGGGCTTCGATTCAAAGCCCATCATTACGAACCGCCGGTTCGACCAATGGATGCCTCCCGCCCACCTTCAACCAACGAGGACACGCCACGTCAACTCCTCTTCCAACGGCTATATTACAACGACTATATTTCGGCAGCAGTGGGAGGCCCTCGAATGATAGCCTCCGGGTATCACTCACCGCAGCCTTCAGACAACGAATTCCACCAAGCACCTTCGAGCCCGTAGCAGCATAAGCCTTCGGCTTATCAATGTTACCACCCCTCGGGAGCTTGTCAACACATCATGACTCCTTCAGCCCGAACTTGCCTTCGGCCTAAAGGAGTGGGGGACAGGGAGACACCCCTCGGGAATCACACATAAAATAAACAAAAAAAATCCCAGATGCAACAAATTCACAAGTGACGCATACAGCCTCCGGGGAAAACATCAAAGTAAAGACCCTCGGGTACATACTTCAATAGACCCCTTCGGCAGAAAACAAGTATCAAAATTTTTCCCAAATCACTTGTAGTAGTGAAGCAGCCTTCATCACAACACATGCGGGCAATACATCTATACTTTCCTCAGAAAACCCTCGGCATGTGAGGGACTGAGGAAAGCCTTCGGCAGTCATACAGGTGTTATACTTCCCTCAGGAAACCCTCGACATGTGAGGGACTGAGGGAAGCCTTCGGCAATCAGCAGAAGGCGGATTCTCAAGCGTATGCGCCCAACCAAATGATGAAGCCTCCGGAAGAATCAACACATCTACTCCTTTTCCCTCAAGTACCTTTCGGCAAAAGGAGTGAGGGACTCCTGATGGAGTATATGGCCCAGGAACCCCCGGCCCATAGACTCCTACTTCTCCTACACAAGTCCATTGAGCCAAGGAAACAACTCAGGCCCAAATACAACGGCCCAAGCCTCAAAGTAGCCCGGAATACACACTGGGGTGCCTTCGGCCTCCTTGGCCGAAGGCTCCAAAACTCACAGGATAGCCTTCTCTGGCGTACGAAGCTACTGGGAGAAAACGGCGAAAAACATGAGCCTTCGGCACTATCAAGCCCTCGGCATCGGAGGAGCCTTCGGTTGAACCAAGCCTTCGGTCACACAAGGCCTTCGACTACACAGGGGTCCTTGGCCACATGGAGCCCTCGGCTACACAAGAGCCTTCGGCCGAACATGCTAAGTCATCGAAGATTCCTTTTGGAGACAGCCAACCACCGCATTTAATACCACGTCACATCCGCCAACCGCATTCAATGCGGTGAACGTACCACTGCCGGTGCCACCCGGCTGATGTGACCCCTCGGCCGTCGGATTACTGACACGTGTACTCTAATCGCATTTATTGCTGCTATAAATAGCAGCCCTTATTCTCCTTGTAAGACACGCTGAGTTCATTTAATAAAATCGACTCTCTCTCCTCCTATTTACTCTGACTTCTCTCTAGTTATTCCCGCAATAACCCCTCGGATAAGATACCCCCCGGGTAGATTGTCCATCACCGGTCTTACTCCGGTCATAACTCCGTTCATGGTTAAACTTAATCCTCCAAACCCTCATTCTACACCTCTATAAGTGTAGAACAAGTTTAAGGGTCCATCATATGATTTATAAAATCATATGAGATTAAATGGAGGATGAAAAATGTTAATGAGATCATTACCTTAATTAATCAAGGTTTTTCTCTTCCTTTCTCACTCTTTCTTCTTCCTTGGACCTTCATTGGTTTGAGCTTGCTTCAACAATGGAAGATGATGAATTGTAGAGGCTCTCCTCTCTTTCCTTAGTGTGATGGCCGAAATTATGATGAGGTGGGTGTGTGGGAGGATGATTCCTTTGTGAATACCTCAAAATAATGTGGAGGAGGGTCCCTCCACCTAACAATTGTGTCTCACCCATCCCTTCACCCACATCAAGCTTCCTCCCATGTGTTTGCAGCTCCAAATTCAAATATTTGGTGGATAATTTCGTGGGGTGGCCCCCACTCATGTGGGAGGTCATCCCAATATGTCGCGAAGTGTACATTCGGTCCCGAAAGTTGTATTTTCCGGACTGTTTTAATTAAATTTTATTTCATTGGGTCAAATAAAATATATATCATTATTCCAATTAATATTGGCCTCTAGAATGAATATATATTACCCAACTATAATTTCGTGGTCTCCAGAATTTATTTTGGGCTGTTATCTGTTTAATTACCTATACCAGTAATTGACCGCATTTGATCAATCGGCCAACCCTATGGCTAAACAGAAATATAAACCATCATATAAATATCATCTAGACCAAGATGAATGTAATATGTGGTCCCGAAAATATCGGATGGTCCCCGCCTATGTGTGGGCCCAACTTGCATTTTACTGTTCAAGTAACAGTAAAAATGAGAACATGTTCCATCGAAAATTCATTCATCATTTCTCATGACTAAATATGTGGTTTCATATTTTGTGACACTTTAATAAAATGTTACACTTCTTTTTAAGTGGTCTGATATGTATGAACAGATAAAATCTTATCTGTTTGTCCTCATACAAAATATCTTCAAGGTAGGGTCATCCAAAAGTACTCTCCTTAATATACCAAATTAATCAATATTAATCATCCCATTACTTTTGGGTTCTTAAAATATTTATATTTCTTATGTTATTAATTCGTAGTCCTCCGAATTATTATCAGTCCGTTAATTAAGGACGCACAATTATCGATTAGTGACTCCGGCCCGCTTGACCATCTAGTTGTCGTTCTTTATATCACTGGGGTCCACGACCCATACTCACTATCATAATAGTATCGTTTTGGGAAACAATAATATTTTATAAACTTGAAAAACCACGAGTGATCCTACGCCTAAATTAATAACCCTTTATTAATCTAGGACAAAATTTTACTTTCTCATTTATCGAGACTACTCTTAGTCTTGATTTACCTTCTTTAACCAAGTACTTTACGAAAAAATTTTATCTGGGTAAAATTCGGGTCCGGTGTTACAAAGAGCCTATGAGAGCAAAGGACAATGTGTCAGAGAGAGGCAACTTCCTCCTGTGAGAATGCTACTCCCGGTAAGCCATTGTAGGTGGATGGCTGTTTTAGGGGAACAGTTTGGTCGGTGGGCTGGGAAAGGATATCTGCATAAGTTTTAGGACGCGGTGGAGGCCTTTAAACTCTGTTTCCGGTGGGTGGAAATTTAGTAGGCTTGGTGGTAGAAATTCCGGCTGCTGCCTGAAGAAAAGATTTTCCGGGCAGAATGTTAGAAGGCCCCTGTTTACCTGCGCTGGTGGTGGCTAGTGCACCAGGAGTGCTTATTTCGGTAGTTTGTGTAGGTTGTGGGGTGGTGGTTGGTGATGGCATATGGTTGGTGGCTGCCATGGGAGCCATGGCCGCCTTGGGCGAAGGTGGGCTAAGGTTTGGGGAGGCTAAGGTTTAGAGAGAATGACAAAGTTAGAGCTTCACTAAAATGTCTAAGATTAATTTTGTATTATTATACTCAGATCGTGTATATGTATCTCTATATGTGACCATACATCAAGTTATAGCCATGCGTCCATATGTGCGTATAACATTATGTGACTAGTGGCAAAATAATCTAGCCTCTTGATTTATAATTCCTTGATATTACGAAAATTATCTTGTTACTAAATTTTTTTATCATCATTTTTTTTTCTATTTACCTTTTTATCTTGAATTTAAATTTTTTGTGAAATTGAGATTGTTACAATTCTTCTGGACCCATTTCTCCTTAACCAGACCTACAGTCTGTTCAGACTACTTCTTTGGACATTTCCCATTAGAATGTCCTAGATGAAAACACTCTGAACAATATTCTGGCCGGTCTTCGTATATTATAGATTGTGCAAACCCAATAGCACCACAATTGATCCAAATCTTTGTTGGCATCTCCTTGGTGAGATCCAATTCAATACAAACTCTAGCCACTGCTGGCCTGGATAAAGAAGTTGTGGCCGAGTCTATTTTCAAAGGGTTACCAATCAAGCTAGCTATCTCAAACAGGGCAGTTTTATCTTGTAAATGTATTGGCAACCCCTCCATCGCAATCCACACCAGAACCACCAGAGACTCCACATTAGGTCAGAACTCCAGAGTCCATTTGGTGACTCATCTTATGACCTTGAACAACCCATGATTGCCGGTTCCAGCATCGAAGGAAATCCTCCTCCAGATCAAACCTAATCAGGATGTGTTTCAGATCTAAAACTCCCAATTGAAAGTTTCCTTTGAATCCAATTATTTCAAAAGATTTCCTGATGATCGGAAGGCTAGGCTTCCCCTTGAAGAAATAGCCCACCAAGGCTCTCTTATGTTTATCTACCAATTTCACCGCATCACCATCAGAAAAACTTATGGAAGGCAATCCTTTGAATCTCGATTTCTCCGGCTTCAACACAGAACGATTGGCTACAACATCAGCGAATGATTTGCAATCCCAAACATTCCCCCCGTCAGGAGGCTTCCCTGTCGCACTTGCCGCCGATGCCATCGCACTCTCGTCAGAAGTCCTTAATGCAATGAACAGCGTGGGTTAAGTTTCCCTCGGCTTTGAAATTGGATGATTCTTTTCCAAGGTGAAACCTTCAAGAATACCTCATCTCCCACCTTAAATTCCAAGGCTCTTCGGCGCTTATCGGCATAGCTCTTCTGTCTATTCTGGGCCGCCTTAAGTCTCTCTCGAATCATTTTAACCTTTGACTTAGTGATCTCCACCAATTCCGTGCTCTCGAGCTTGGCCATGCCAACCTCATCCCAACACAACGGTGTACGACATCTCCTGCCATACAATGCTTCGCATGGAGGCATGCCAATACTCGCCTGATAACTGTTGTTATAGGCAAACTCTACAAGTTCCAAATGGTTGTCCCAACTTCCTTGGAACTTCAATGCACAAGCTCTCAACATATCCTTTAAAATCTGTATGACCCTCTCCGATTGTCCATCCGTCTGTGGATGAAAAGCAGTGCTAAACATCAATCTCGTTCCCATAGACTCTTGGAACTTCGGCCAAAATCGTGATGTGAATCGTGGATTCCTGTCGGATACAATGGTTATAGGAAACCCATGTAGCCTCACCATCTCATCCACATACAATTTGGCTAACCTCTCAAGTGCATAGGTAGTGTTGATAGGTAGAAAATGTGCACTCTTCGTGAGCCTATCAACCACAACCAACACGGCATCATAATTATTTACTGTCTGTGGTAGCCCTACCACAAAATCCATAGTCACGTGCTCCCATTTCCACTCTGGAATGGAAAGTGGCTCTAATAACCCAGCTGGATGCCGATGTTCTGCCTTAACTTGTTGACAAGTAAGGCATCGGCTGATGTGCTCAGCTATTTCCTTCTTCATACCAGACCACCAATAACTTTCTTTTAACTCACGGTACATTTTCATGCCCCCCGGGTGCATGGCATAAGCCGATGAATGAGCTTCCTCTAAGATGGACTTTCAGAGCTCATCATCCGACGGTACACACACTTGGTCATGAAATAATAAGAGACCATCATCTCTTTCCCTGAAATCCTCCACTGGTCCCGCTTGCATGCGTTCCCGGACCTTCATAAGTGTTGGGTGTGTTTTGAAAAACAAATAAAATGAATTAATAAAATTAATAAATTAAAATGACAAAACGAAAACAAGAAATGAGATGAAGCAGAACAAGTCAAAGCTCGTGCAACGCACGATTTCCTTAAAACGTATTCGTTGCCTCCCGGGGTGCTAGGAGCGTTGCAAGAATCGTTTCCCAGGATACGATGACTACGAACAAGCGTTTGAGCACTCAAACGAAAGTTCCCACGAACGTGAACAAAGCAAGAACACTAAAGAGTTTTTGTGGAATGCTAGAGGTGTTTTTTAGCTCTGAAAATATGTGCACGAAGTGTATGAACGTGTGTCGTTAGCAAAGCACCTACTAGCCTTTTATAAGGGTGGATTATGGTGTGTTAATGGCTGTTTAAGGCTTGTGAACGTTGGACATCAATGTCCTAAACGTTCGGCATTGATTCCAGCCAATAAACAGCCCAATAAACAGAACAAAAATTAACGTTATCTTTAGAAGATAGGATTTTCGGACGGCATTCGTGTCCGCAGGTCGGACGCGCACGCAAGTCGCGCTTTTTGTTCTTCGGTTTCGGGATTTGATTCGCTCCCCCCCCCTGCGCGCGTGAAGAGAGCCTTTACCCTAAGGAATCTTAACTCCTTAAGGGGGGTTTCCCTTTATAAAGGGTTCAAATTCCCTTGTGATTTTCGGTGTGGGAAAAACCCATACCAAAACCACACTTTTTCCTAGTTTTCTCCATTCCAACGGGTACACTTCGAAAAGCGATTTCTCATTCACCCGTTATCCGTTTTGAGCGTACCATATATCGAATTGTAGCCCTAAGCAAGGACTATCCGAAACCACTTTGACCCGACCCAAATCGGAAGTGGACCCTGCTCAAAAAATTGCCCCATAATGACCATTTAATGCAATTTAACACACTTTTTTCCAACAATAAGTTCTTAGTCAGTTTCTTGACCCTTCTTGATCTCATCAAGAAAAGTAAGTCTCACCTCAAATCGTGCCAATAAGGCACCATTGTTAGGTACCTCCAATTTGGCTCTCAATGCCCTCAAACTAGCTAGCAATGCCCCAGACGAACTCTTCTGACAGACCAAAATGTGTAGTGTGAAATGGTGTAAAAATGTGAATGGAAATGATGTTTTAATTGGCTTGTAACGATATAGTATAGAGTAAGTGAGTATCGTTCCGCTAGAGAATGGCTCAAAAAGAGAACTAGAATTAATGATTGATTTTTAGCTAATCACAAATTGATAACATTTTGCAATGGAGCTAAGTGAACAGATTTTTTTATCTTGTTTTTATAAATGTGAAATTGCTAGGAAATAAAATAAATCACAATACTTGATAATTTAACAATTAATGATATAGTGAAAATTAGGCTTGGGCTAAGAGTGATTTTATTTTCATGTTCATAATAATAAAGATTTAACTGATTAACTTGGTTACTTTTAGGTGTGTGAAAGATTTTCAAATGGTAATCTTCTAATCGTTCCCACGACTTAGTTGATTACACTATCTTAAATTAATTCTGCTCCCGCGGTAATTTTATTAAGACAGTAAAAAGTACAAAATCAAATTATCCTAAATTCCTTAACACTTCCGTGTAGCAATTTAGTGGGTGAATTAACTAAAGGGATTTTTAATGAAACTTCACTCCCGTGATAATATTCATTTCCCAATATAATGTATTTAGCAGATTAGAACATTCAACCCAACACCCTAAAATTAACCAAGTAAAAGTTTTAACCAATTATTATCATATGAACATTAACAGTAAAATTTACATCTTGCCCAAGCCTAAACTAAATTAGCTACTCATGTTTGCACGAAAATAAAATGAATACAAATACTTCATACATTGTTTAATATTTAAGTATGAGAAACGAAATTAAAAGAGAATAAAACTTTACTTGCATTCAGGCTTTTCTGGAACTGGAGTGCACAAGATGACGAACTCAAGACTGAAATTGCTGGAAACTAACTTTAGAGGAGTACTGATTTATACATAGTAGCTCTAGAAAGAACTATTTATTAAATAACTACTAATACAAACTGAACTAAAGAAAGAAGAAGGAGATTTCTCTCCGAATTGGTGTCCTGCCGGAGCTCTCAAATGGTCCTTTATATAGGAGTAGAAGAAGGGGCCAGAGCACCAAAAATCCTGAAATGAAGGTGTTGAAAAATAAATATTGCTGTATTATTACTTCAGTCTTCATCAGATTTGATCGCCGCTCTTGATTTCTTTCTGCAAATAGTACCTCTCCTGTTCATCGTGCATTATTTTTCTTCGGTACCATCTTGTTGCTGCTGTTCTTGGTGAATTGCCGACTGAAGATGATGAAGTGGATTTTGATTTTAAGTGCATCCAAATTAGAGGGTCCCTTCATCAATAATTCAATTGATCCAATCCTTTGTTGGAGTTTATTTTTCTGCGATGTTGCTTCATTCACTATTTAGTGAATAGTGGGGTGTGTCAATTACTCGGCCAGCTTGGGCTCTTATCCGCCACTTCTTTATTATGGCCGGTTAGCTGTTTGATCAGTTAACTGGTCAAACAGTTAACCGGTACATTTTATTGTGGACAGTCTGGCTTATTCTGAAATGTATTTCGGGACTCTTGATAAAATATTCCGGAGTTAAAGTAAGGACCCGCTTCACCTTGATGATTTTTCCGTCTTCACATGGAAGTAATATTTATTTCTTTTCAGAAATTAATATACATCCTGAATTGTCCTGAAACTCAAAAATATACCAAAACAAGTGCAATACCTTAAAATGTCCAAGATGATAAAGATCAATCCTTTTTATTTAAAAATAAGAAATAAAGTATTAAAAGTGTGACAAAACAAGATCATAAATATGGTAAATTAGGAGTACATCATCTTCCGACTGAGTGCATCTGCTACAACGTTTGCCTTACCTAGATGGTACTCAATCACTAGATGGTAGTCTTTTATCAACTCCATCCACCGTCTCTGCCTCATGTTTAACTCTTTCTGAGTAAACACGTACTTCAAGCTCTTATGATCAGTGTATATGTGACATGTCTCCCCGTAGAGATAATGTCTCCAAATCTTCAGTGCAAACACCACTGCTCCCAGCTCTAAATCATGAGTAGGATAGTTTACCTCATGCTTCTTCAACTGTCGTGAAGCATAGGCAATTACCTTCCCCATCTGCATCAACACACATCCAAGCCCTTGGATGCTCGCATCACTATAGACATCGTACCCCATACCCTGTTTGGGTAGTGCAAGTACCGGTGCCTCGGTCAATCTCTTCTTTAGTTCAAGGAATCCTTTCTCGCATTGGTCATCCCATACAAACTTAGCTCCTTTTCGAGTGAGCTTCGTCGATGACGACGCCAAAACAGAGAACTTCTACACGAACTTTCTATAGTAGCCTGCCAATCCAAGGAAACTACGAATTTCCTTGACGTTCTTTGGCCTCTCCCATTCAGTAATGGCTTCTATCTTCTTATTATCAACCGCAATTCCTGATCCCAAAACTACATGCCCGAGAAAGCCAATCTCCTTTAGCCAAAATTCGCATTTAGAGAATTTAGCATAGAGTTGCTTCTCCCGTAGTGTCTCAAGAACAAGTATAAAGTGCTCCTCATGTTCTTCCTCACTCTTTGAGTAAATCAAGATGTCATCTATGAACACAATCACGAATCGGTCCTAGTATTTATGAAATACTCGGTTCATCAAGTCCATGAATGCCGCCAGGGCGTTTGTTAACCCAAACGACATAACAAGGAACTCAAAATGCCCATACCTTGTGCGGAAAGCACTCTTGGTATGTCATCTTCCTTAATCTTCAATTGATGGTACCCCGACCTCAAATCAATCTTCGAAAACACGGTTGCTCCTCGTAGTTGATCAAACACATCATCAATCCTAGGCAAAGGATATCTATTCTTGATTGTGACCTTGTTCAGTTGACGATAGTCAATACACATTCGAAGTGTCCCATCCTTCTTTTTCACAAAAAGAACCGGTGCTCCCCACGGGGAGTGGCTTGGTCTAATGAAACCGTTATCCAAAAGTTCTTGCAATTGGGTTTTCAACTCGTTAAGTTCTGCGAGTGCCATTCGATATGGCGGTATGGAGATTGGTTTGGTGCCGGGCTTGACCTCGATCACAATTTCAATCTCTCTATCGGGTGGAAGTCCCGATATTTTTTTTGGAAAGACGTCTGGATACTCGCACACTACTTTCACATCATCGATGCTTGTCTCTTCTTTGGTTTTGTCTACCACATATGCTAGATACGCGTGGCATCCCTTTTCTCATCATACTCCTAGCTCTCACGGCAGATATGATACAACTATTGGATTTTTCTCTATCCCCCTCGAAGCGTAAGGTTACCCCTTCATCGCCTTCGAGTTCAAGTACTTTCATGTAGAAATTGACTCTAGCATGATGCTTCTCAAGCCAATCCATCCCCAGGATTGCATCGAACTCAATCATACTCAGCGGTACGAAATCACATGTCAAGTTTTGGCCCTCCACTTCCACCTCACACAATGGATAGTGGCTATCTCTCTCGATGTCTTCCCCTAGAGGCGTGGATACTAAAAGGGGTTGAGCCATCGGTACGAGTGGTTCATTGAATCCCCCAGCAAACTCCTCACTCACGAATGATTGTTGCGCCCCGGTGTCAATAAGGATTCTTGCATCTCTCGCATTAATCTTTAGTGTTCCTACATCCATAAGCCATGTAAGACACACTTCCAACTTAATAGACTCATTTCTTAAGTCGTAGTTACACTAGGTACGGTTCTGATGATCGTTGTTCGACGCCCCATCGCAAACCCGCCCCGGTTCTTACCTTAAAAATTGTTGTTGGGCATCATCAAGTGAAAGCCGACCGCTTTTTGTAAAAGTCGGCCGGTCTTCGGTTATTGGTCAACGGCTCGAAATGATTCGTTACGTAAGCCGGCCGGGATTAACGAAAACCGGCCGGTTTTCATCGCCGCAACTTAATTCAACAATTAAATCCCAAAACCCGGTCGGGCTTTGCGAAAGCCGGCCGGTGTTCGGCTGCGTAGCATTTCCCGTCTTTAATCAAAAGCCGGCCAGTTTCTGCGAAAGCCGGTCGGTTCTTGGCGCCGTGGGTTTAATCCGACTATTCATATATGAAAGCCGGTCGGCTCCCACTAATGCCGGCCGCTTTTCCTCGGCGAAGTTTACACGGCGAAAATCCTTGAACAAAAGCCGGCCGAGATTCACGAACGTCGGGCGACGTTCGTCACCGTGGGATTTTTGCAATTAATTCGAAGACGAAAGCCGGGCAGCTTTCATCAATACCGGGCGACGTTCGCCCAGGGCGGGTAGACTTCCCCTCTTTTAGCTTAAACAAGCTCGGTCGACCATAGGACTCACACGATTTCCTCTTCTTGAAGCCCCTCCCAAAGCACACCTTACTTGACGCCTTTGGCGATCTTGTTGATATTGTCGGAGGAGTTCCTCTATTCTTCCTAGATTGTCATCATCGTCGCTCTCTTTACTAGTGTCGTCATATTCCCCATCATTTGGGGTCTCACCCGGTTCAGTTTCCGGTTGGTAAGTCGAGTCCTCCTTGGACACGTAAAACTCATATACGGTTTCCACATGACACTTACAGTCTGAGATTGGCCTCCCCGGCCTCGCCCCCTGGACACTCTAGAGTCCCCTCTACTGCCATGTTGGGACCTTCCCGGTGCCTGACCAGTCGGGTTTCTCTAGTAACATTCCGGGTACGTTCCATTTTTGAAAGGAATTGAGAACGAGTCGTTAGACACTTAGGCTCGTATCAAATGTCAATTGACGGATAGGTACTTAAAGACATCCTTTGACTCAAATCACCGCCATACCAATTGTTAAGGGTACCATCTTAACAATTAGAGACCTTGCAACTCAAGTACCAAAAGTTCTATAAGTACAAAACTTTATGCTCGTGGTTTTCAAATTCATTTTCAAAAAGGAATTTTGAAGCTTCATTATGAAGTTTACGGACTAAGGCTCTGATACCAATTAAATTGTCACGCCCCGGACCTACCGGACACGTCAACAACCCGCCGTACAGTACGAATAGTCAACCGCAGTCCAACTCATCCATACTATACTAGGCGTCTTGAATACTACTCGCACATAGTACATCCATAAATAAACATAATGTAAAATATTCATTTAATGCAACGGAAACATTTGATACAAGTGCTTAAGCCACACTTGGCAAACATAGGCATACAAGTCCCAAATAATTATTCAGAAAAAATAATATCCATGAGCATTAAATATAATTGTTTTTAAAATAGATACGGAGGAAGCACGAACCACGTCTCCTCTCCTTGGATCTTCCCGAGCAACGGGCAATGGTAGCAACCTTCAAGTTCTACCTGAAACTGTGAGGTGGCCTCCCCCGTGAAGGGGAGGTCAGTACTTGGAAGCATTTGACAAGTACAATGACAACTATACTAAGTATAATCAATGTTTCAATTTCTAAGACCCTCAAATAGAGTGATATCATAATATAATGATAGTTCTTATTCCGTCCTTATTATCTTTATAATAAGTTAATTTATTAATTTGTCGGCACGTGGGCCCCTTTTCATATTCCATTTCATTCATCGTTTGCACGATACCGCCCGTAGGCCTTATCATTTATACGAGACTCGTCACCGCTGCCCGAGGCCTCATCGGGCCCTCGGGTCGGAGTCCAACATCCCTCCCCTGGGCTCATACCCATCATCCCGTAGGAAGGTAAGGCCCATTCGGGGTCCTATCTTATGTGTTACCGCTGCCGGAACCCTGTTAGGTCTCCGGTTCGGATTCCACCCTATCTTATATCATGTGTTATCGCTACCGGAGCCTCGTGAGGTCTCGGGTTCGGATTCCACCCTAACTCGTGATCACGATGCAAGTCCATGCTGCCCAACCCCACTCTCTAGAGTCGAGAAGGGTCATGGTCCTTACTTATTACCATAATTTAACCGGCTACCCTTAAGGATTACCGAATACACCCGTAGGCAAATCCTATACCTAGGATCCATTTATTATTCACTTTAATTACCTTGGGTATCCTTTAGGCCTACCCCTAGTATAACTTAATGTTCATACATGTCCACCTTAGCATCACTTAAGACTATTTAAGGTTCACTATTTCACAATCCAACCTTGGGATTAATTGTAGCATATTCTCATTCCAATACCCCGACTAGTATCTTAATACTAGTCGGATAATTTCCAACTATTCAAGTTTTCAACTCTTAGTCATATAGACATTCCCAACTGATTTTCCTTTGAAAATTGTAGTTCATAGCAATTATACAAACTATAACTTTCATTCACTCTCTTACTCTTATATGAAGTAAAAAGTATATTTCAATATAAAGTTAATAGTTAATTCCATTATCAAGCCTTCATACTCATATCACATAATCATACACAATTTATCCTTAAATTTGCATATCATGCTCCTTTCTTA